CTCTGGTCCCTGTAGCTCCTATGGTCCCTGTAGATCCTCTGGTCCCTGTAGCTCCTCTCTGGTCCCTGTAGCTCCTCTTGAGTATTTTGGTTTGATGTTCTGACCCTGGACCTGTCCTCTCTGGGCTGACCAGCAGGCATGGTGCTGAAGTGGTTGCTATGGTTACTACTGGCTGTGACCTGATTGTCAGAGAAAAAAAACAATGAGAGAAAACTTCAAAGAGGAGCTGCTCTGTTGCCTAGCAACAAGGCAGGCAGACTCCCTCAGTTTCATCACTGAGAGAGATCACTATCAGTCTGCTCATTACTCCACCGCTCCTCTACTGTCCTTCGTCTTCCTCTCTTTTGTCCTCTGTCCTCCTCTCCTCCATCCTTTCATCCTCCTCTCCTCAGTCCTCCTCTCCACTGACCCTTGTCCTCTGTCCTCATCCCCTGTCCTCAGTCCTTCTCTACTCAGTCCTTAATCCTTTCCATTCTCCTCTTCTCAGTCCTCCTCTCCACTGTCCCCTGTCCTCCTCTCCACTGTAAACTGTTCTCTGTCCTCCATCCCTTGTCCTCAGTCCTCTTCTCCACATCCCCTGTCCTCTGTCCCATCCTCTGTCCTTCATCCCTATCCTCTGTCCCCTGTTCTTCATCCCCTGTATTCTGTCTCCTGTCCTTCATCCCTGTGTCTGTCTACTGTCCATCCCATCTTCTGTCCCATCCTCATCCCGTCCTTCATCCCGTCCCTTGTTGTCTGTCCCCTGTCCTCCATCTCCTGTCTTCTGTCCCTGTGTCCCTTGTCATCTGTCCCCTGTCCTTCATCCCCTGTCCCTGTCCCTTGTCCTCCTCTCGGTGTGATAGAAACTGTGAATGTGAGCTGGTGAAACTCGTAGTCGTTCAATTTTGTCTTCACTCTTTCGTGTCTGTTTTTTTTAAGCCATCTGTCCATTAGCTTCTCTGTCCATGCTTCAGTGTCCTCTCGTGGACTTCTATGACTTCTAGGAACGGTTTGATGGAAACATTTAGTGTTTGTGACATTTTGAGTTTTTATCACGGTGATAAACCTTGAAACCAGTAATTAGTCCTTGCCTACCTACAGCTGACTAACATCTGGAATCAGTGCTTAGCCAATAAAGAACGAGTTTAACTCTGTAATTTTTACAGACACTGACCAAACGTGACTTTTTCCTGTCCTTTAATTACCTCCATCTTCACCTCGTCTCCCTGTGGAAACCTGCGTTTTTGTTTCAGGTGACATTGTAGGGACAACTGCTCCTTGTGGGGACCAAAGCCAGGTCCCCATAAGGATGGCACTAGACATGTACCAGTAATGGTTAGGTTTAGAGAAAGGGTCAGGGTTAGGCTATAGAGAAGTCAATGCAACGTTCCCAAAAAGTATGTTTACAAGAACGTGCGTGCGTGCGTGCGTGCGTGCGTGCGTGCGTGCGTGCGTGTGGCACTGGCAGTAAGTGGAGTGCGTTTGTGGCAAAGCTGCACGCCCTCACAGCTGGCAGCCAGACAGTTTCACTTTGTGGTTTTTGGAGAACCAGAACCAGTGATGGACACGTGCATCTGTATGTGCTTGTCTAGTTTTTCTGTAAATGTTGGACCTATCAGAACCTGGGGTCAGATGGGTCACAGCTTCAGAGGGTTTACCGAGAGCCAGGACTGGGTTTTACTATCAGATCTGAAGCTTCGAGGTCAAAGTCTAAAGTTAAAATAATGCCCCCCCCCCCCCCCCCCCATAAAAAAACAACAACAAAAAAACAGACTCCCACCCTCCAAAATAAGTCAAACAGCAGCTTGGATGAGTAAAACACTGAGATATTTCTTGCCTGTAATCATTTACAAAGTATTTTTCAGCTTTTATTCTAGCATTCTGTGAAGAAACAACCAAATTAAATATTTTTCATTTCTGACAGTATTGATGGATTCTCTTCTAAAGAAAGGACCAGATTAAATGTCCCCATAAAGTCCAAACCTAACCCATGTCCTCACAGCCATAGGTATACAAGAAAAACACACACACTTTGGTCCTACCAAAGTTCCATAGGAGCCATCTTCTTTCTTCACCCCTCAGTGCATGACTTCTCCTCCATCACACTCGGTTCTGCTTCTCTGGTTCTTCTTCTTCTTGTTGATGCAGCTCTGCTTCCCCCTGGTGGCCAGCTGAAGAACAGGGATCTGGTGATCAGAGCAGTGAGGTGCCCTCTACCTCTGGAAACGGAACATCTGATGATGTCATAGTGATGTCACCATGTAGAAGGGCGTGGGTTTGAGTAGCTGCAGGGAGCCTCTACTGCAGGGGTGTCCAGTCCTGGTCCTGGAGAGTCACCATCCTTCAGGTTTTAGTTTCTTCTACTCCAGCACACCTGGTATGAATCAGTGGGTGATTGAATCAGGTGTTGGAGCAGGTCAACCAGTGAAACATGCAGGACAGCAGCTCTCCAGGACCAGGACTGGACACACCTGCTGTACTGCAACCTTTAACCAAAAAAAGGCATCATGGGAAATTAGGTTTCCAGTTGTTGATAAAACTTAAAAACCTTCATCTGTCCGTTTTCTTTCCCCACTTTTCCTTTCTGGATCATGGGGAGCTCCAGAAGTCCTCATCACAGAGACAGGGCACACCTGGACAGGTGGCAGGGCCACTCTTTGGGTGCATTCACACTAGCCCTGTTTAGTCCACTTTAATCCAACTCCAGCTCGTTTTCCTTGAAAGTCCGGTTCGTTTGGGGAGGTGTGAACGCACCATCGAACTCTGTCACGGAACAAAAAGGCGAACTCTGGCCCGGGCTAAAACCTAGGTCTGGGTCCGGTAGAAGAGAACTCCAGCGTGGTTCGAGTACAGTGTGAATGTAAACAGACCGGACCCGCTCCACAGGACAAACAAACACACATTTCTCTTATATGGAGCCGTCAGCTGACTTGTGTGGAAAACAACATTCTCCATGGTCTTCTGTCTCATCTTCTGCTCATGCTGAGTCCATTTTTGAAAAATGACAAAATATAACTCCTAAAACTTGATGCCACTTCGTTTTTATTTTTATTTACAGAAGAAGAAGAGGTTTTTGTGTCGTTTCTTTCAGTAGTTCTTGGTGCAGCGCCCCCACAGGCGAGCGGGGGAACAAGTTGGTTCAACAGGTTGCTTCAACAGGTTGCTTCAACAGGTTGCTTCAACAGGTTGGCTCAACAGGTTGGTTCAACAGGTTGGTGCAACAGGTTGCTTCAACAGGTTGCTTCAACAGGTTGCTTCAACAGGT